TGGCACAATCTCAGCCCACTGCAACCTCCGCCTCCTGGGTTCAAGCAATTCTCCTGCCTCAGCCTCCCGAGTAGCTGGGACTACAGGTGCATGCCTCCACACACAGCTAATTTTTTTGTATTTAGTAGACACAGGGTTTCACTATGTTGTCCAGGCTGGTCTCGAACTCCTGAGCTCAGGCAATCCGCCCGCCTCAACCTCCCAAAGTGCTAGGATTATAGGCATGAGCCACCATGCCTGGCCAAATTTTATTTATATTTAAGTGGTTGTACTATAAAGTATTCATTAAGTTTTGGGAAATGAGCTTGTTTGCTATTTTAATTAAATACTTCTTTTGATTTTCTTGCCTTGGAATATAGGTACTGGAAGAGGAGGTAACAGTATCTGGGGCAAGAAGTTTGAGGATGAATACAGTGAATATCTTAAGGTAAATCCTCAATTCTTTAAAAATCTATGTTATCATGCCTTGGTTATGCTTGGATACTTTGATACATGTGTTATAGTAATACAAGTTAACATAATTGCAAAATGAATATACTTTTTTATAGTTTTTGTACATCTGACAAATAATGTCAGGGAGACTTGATGAATGGTGGTCCTATCCTAACGTGTACTGGAATCTCACCACCATGTGACTCTTGATATTAAGTGAGTTCATCTTTGAATCTAACCTGAAATGTTTAACTAGTAATGTACCAAAAGGGCTTACTATCTCACCATAAAATTCATGTTGAATGACATGAAACAGTAGCCGTTTTTGAGAGTGGGGAGGAAAGACTATCAAACTTCCTGGTTGCAATGTTACCCATTATCAGTGCCCAGCTTTTATCATCTTCTGTTGGATGTTTGAACATTCCTGTATTGACTTGATACCTGTGGCAGATTGCAGTTAGGTTAAGGAAAAGTGCATATAGTCTTCACCATGGTAAAATTAGGGATTTTTAATTTTCTTTGTTATATTTTTCTGTATTTTTCAAACCTCTATGGAGTCTTTTTTTTTTTTTTTGTCTAAAATTTAAAAACTAGTGCATGCCTATTTTTAAAAATCAATTCCACTTCCCAGAGATAACTTCAGTTAATGATTTATTGTGTGGTCTTTCATACTTTGTATCTGCATAGAATCATAACTTTATGATTAGAAAAAGAGTGATAAAGTATCCTCAGTCGGGACTGGGTACAGTAATCCCAGCACTTTGAGAGGCCCAGTCAGGAGGATTGCTTGAGGCCAAAATTTTGAAACCAGCCTGGGCAATATGTTGAGACCCCTATCTCTACAAAAAAAAAAAAAAAAATATATATATATACAAATATTAGCCTGTTGTAGTGGCATGTGCCTGTAGTCCCAGCTACTCAAGAGACTGAGGCAGGAGGATTGCATGAGCCCAGGAGATCAAGGCTGTAGTGAGCCAAGATCATGCTCAGGACAAGACCTTGTCTCAAAAAAAGTGTACTCGGGGCCGGGCGCGGTGGCTCAAGCCTGTAATCCCAGCACTTTGGGAGGCCGAGGTGGGTGGATCACGAGGCCAAGAGATCGAGACCATCCTGGTCAACATGGTGAAACCCCGTCTCTACTAAAAATACAAAAAATTAGCTGGGCATGGTGGTGCGTGCCTGTAATCCCAGCTACT